TTCTTGTTCAATTGCTGTGAGTATGACTATAAATTTAAAAATAAAATTTATATCATAGAAACAACTTTAGAGCATGTTCAACAAAATTAGCTGTTTTGGTAACTGTTAGTTATTTTAATAGAGTTTAACTGTTTAACTAGCCAGTAGTCGTTTGAGTATAAAAGCTAAACACTACAGGGTGAATTTTTTATAAAATGCTACCTTAACATTTAAAGCTAGTTTAAACATTATATTACCGAACACTATAAAAAATAACGTTTAGTCGAAACGCTAAAAGCTACTCCCTCCGTCCAAAAAATGGTCCACTTTCTTTTGTTTGCATTATAGTTAATTAATCTTTAAATTATCTAATATACCCTTATTAAATTTTACCTTATTTTCAATAACCCTCATCAATTCTTATTTGTTATTTCAATACAATAATTGTTCATGTGTTATTTAAGATGAAAGCAATGGTCCCCGACCTTTCTTTAGTACTATTGCCATATAGTACGTTAATTAATCTTTTTTAAATTTCTACTTATACCCCCTTATTAAAGACTTTTGACCTTATTACTTCACTAGGTGAGCCTCCTCATCAATTCTTATTTTGCTTCACTCAAAACCCGTACAAACAATTGTTCTATCGACTTGTGCCAACACCCCAACTGCATACGGAGAATTCCCCCGACGGAACTCGATCCCCGGCCGAGTGTGTAATCTCTTCAAGATGAACATAAATTGAAAAGTTATAATTTGTGAGAGACAACATAAATTTGGTCCTTTTATACCCTTATTAAATTTTACCTTATTTTCAATAACCCTCATCAATTCTTATTTGTTATTTCAATACAATAATTGTTCATGTGTTATTTAAGATGAACATAATTGAAAAGTTATATTAATAAAATTGTCCTTTATCTATAATAATTGCTATTTTTTAATTTATATGAAAATATAAAATGGACTATCTTTTTAGGACGGAGGGAGTACTTAAAAAGTTGTTGCTAAATACAACTTTAACAATATTGAACTTTGATTCATTCTTTTCTTAATTAATTTAATCATGGATAAATTTTGAAAAAATCTTAATTAAAAAATTTTACGAGGATGAATTCATAGAATGGAAAGTAGTTCTATAATTATCTTTTCCTCTGGGATTACAAGACCTATATAACAAGTTTTATCGTTTCCCTGGAATATAGACATTTGCCTTAATGGCTTCGAAATCAATTTTCCATTTTAGCTTCAGTAATTCTGTTGATGAAACAGCTATATGCTTTGTTTTCTTTGTCATCCTGGGAAAATTAATTTCATAATCACATGACACTATTTTGAGTACGAGCAGACAAATTATTTAAAAGCAAACCTAAATTGTGATTGTAGTAAGAGCACTTACTTACAAGAGTTACTGAATAGTTTTAGTAACTTGAAAAGTGGAAATATATTAATTAAATAACAAATATTTTCTCAACCATTTATGCTTAATTACATGAATACAATAATAATTGTATTTAAATAGAAAATTCAAAAAAAAAAAAAAATCATGCACTTAAGATATCATAAAATGAACTAGATCTTTAAAAGAAATTCAGAAAGCTATTTTTTTTTTTTCTAATTATTATGAAGGGCTTTTGTGTGATTGATCAATAACTCTATGGTCATAAACTTCATATAAATTCAAAATTTATTTTTTTTAAATCTATCTGAAGCAATCGCAATCTGTATGTGTATTTGTATATGTGTATGTAGCCAAGATGATAATAAGATGTGAATATAAGTTTCTTTTCACAATAAAAAAAAAAAAATTAAAAAAGAGTTATTTATTGTTTTAATTTTATTCATTGACTGAGTTTATAAAGTTACTATATACACTTGGTGTAGGAGAAAATTTTCAAATATATATGTATATATATCCTCATGCATCCTGTGTATGAAGTGGATGCAGTGTGGGTCTGGACTTTGGATTTCTTGCCATGCTTGAGCGATGTGTGCTACTACCAAATAGGGAGACATTTGATAGGATTTTAATATTATGAAAAATACTTTTTATTTAAGCAAGTTTATATATTCAAATTAAAATTGGTGTTAACTCTTTCTCAATTTAAACTCATTTCCACTTTCTCCTTTTAATTATTAATATCATAAAAAAATGATCACCAGTGAGAGCACAAATTTGAATCTTTTGATGGAGATTTAAGTTATTGTTGTTTAAGTATTGAAATTTATTATTGTCCATATATTTAAATTTTATTTTTAGATCTAATTTTGAGTTTTTGCTGTCATAATTATGGTAATTTTGTTTATAGTTTTTTATTATTTGAGCAATTATGCAGAAAGAAGTGTAGATATTCTTTCTAATAGAAGAAATAAATTTGAAAGTAATCAGATCGAATTTGTAAAAAGACCACAGAGTCGAACAATGACCATCAATAGTCATCAAATGGAGCTAACGATCCCCTATGACACATAATATTATGCTCTATCAACTTCATTAGATATTTCAAATTAAGATTATGTTTTTATAAGTGGTTTATTATTAGACTTTTTATACAAAAATATATAAACATATGAATTTGTATCTCATATCTGTATACAATTTCTATTAATGAAATTTCTAGTTTTTGATTTCTTTTTAAAAAAAAGTATCATAAACATTTTTTATTTGATAAAAAAATGATCATTCACAGTAAAAATATATAATAACAATAATTAAATCTTAATTTCAAACCAGTTGAGATATGCTATATGAGTTTTTTTTTTTTCAATATTTGTTCTATTCAAATTAATAAAATATGATTTTTAAAAAAATTTTGAAATATATTTTGTGGAACTATAATAAAAAAAAAAAAACAAATGTTTATGCTCACACTCCAAATAATTAATAAATGAACAAATAATTTATTGGGTTTTTAATTTAATCCCTCTATTATATTAAAAAAAAAAAGAGAATAAAGTACATGATAAATTAATTCACAAAAATGTTGAAGGAAAAAATTATTTGAAAAAACAAAACTTTATAAATTTGGCCACTGTAAATAATAAATTATAAAAGCGAGAGATGAAGCTAGGGCCACATGCAAATAGCTAGGTAGAAAATAATTTAAATAACAAAACTAAAAAATGACAAAGGAAAGAGGGTGACGAAAGGAAAGCTTGTTTTGTAGCTACCAAGAAGATACGAAATAAGAGAAGAGGAGAGAGAGAGAAAATAAAAAAGAAAGAAAAAAAAAAATGAAGAAGAAGAAGATAGAGGTGAAAGAGTAAGGCCCCTATAATCTCCAGACGGTGGCCCCAACCATCGCCGCATACGACACATTTGGCTGGGTGAGAGCTGCCTCTACAGTGACACTCTCTCAATTTTTACTTAACAATAATTTTCTTTTTTTTTTTTTTCCCTTTTTTGTAGATTTATATGTAATGTCAAATAATCATAAGAAAAATAAATACATAAATATATACACATACATAAGGAAAATAGAATGATTATGTGTATGGTGGTCATGTATGTGTTGTCTATATACATGGCAATAAATGATTGAGGAACAATTTAATACCGAGATCGAGTTTTATTATATATATATATATATATATATTGTAAATAACGTAAATCTAAAAAAAATGACAAAGGCACAAGCCAGGGTGACGAAGGAAAGCTTTGTTTTGGTAGCTAACCACAGAAGCGATACGATAATAAGACGGAGTAAAAGGAGAGAGAGAGGAAATAAAAAGAAAGCAAAACACAGTAAAATGAAGAAGCAAGGAAGATAGGAGAGGTGAAATACGAGAAGTAAATGGCCCCTATAACATCTCTTGAGACGGTGGCCCCACCCATCCCATGAACCGCCGCATATCGACACATTTGGCTGGTGAGAGCTACCGCCTATTCTACCAGTGACACTTCTCTATTTTTATCTCTACAATAATTTTTCTTTTTTTTTGTTTTTATTCCCTTCTTTTGTAGATTTCACTGAGTGTAATGTCATAAGTAAATCATAAGATAAATAAATACATAAATATATAGTACACATACAAAGGAATAATAGAATGAAATTATGTGGTATCGGTGGTCATTATGTGGTTGATCGTATATACATAAGGCCAAATAAATGATATACCTGAGAGAACGAACCCGTCTAATTATGTTCCGAAGATCGAGCTTTTATTATATATCTATAAATAGTTATTATATAACTACGATTATTATAAAAGGACCACCGACACCCCACCATATTCCCTGAGAAAGGAGGAAAGATAGGCAAACATCACGTCTTATATAGTATTGTTGCATCGTTTTTCCGGTCTGCCTCTTTCATTGCATCTACCGGATTGATAGCTGAGATCCCCCCTATTATCACTATATCTCTTGGAGATCGTTTTTATTCTGGGTTTTAACAACCTTAAAAATCTTTTTACTATCTATTAGTTCCATTTCTCTGGTCACCAATTCTCGAAAATCTCAGACTCGGTTGTTCCTTTCGTAGAGGTTAACGAGATTCACCAATGGTTCCCAGAATTTTTTTTTTAATAGAGTGCGTTTTTTTTCAAAGTTATATATCTAGTTTTTCTTTTCCTGAAAATTCTGTGGAATAACACTATATAGAAGAAGCGACTAGCAAGTGTTCATCATACTGGGAATTAAATGTTTGTTTAGATTGCATTTGTCCTTTCATAATTGTAGCTTTGAATTCAAGAAATAAAAAAGTAAGGCGTCAAGACTTGAAGATGGGCTGTGCCCTGCAGGTCAACTCATCTTCGCCAATTTTTTCGGGCTAAGAGAGGGAAATACCAAAACCAAAATATGTGCAAGTTCTAGCCAGAAATCCACATAATATAACAGAACTATTAATTGCTCTCCTACACACTCAAAAGATAAAAGAGATAATCAGGCTCATGACAGACCCACGACACATACAAACCAAGCTAGGTTAGCTTATAAACTCTCTATAACAATGATACTATATCTACTTACTACTATTCTTCTCGATCTAAGCCACCCAGAACACTATATACGATTATTATAAAAACAACAACTTCTGAGAAAGAGGAGAAGCAAAATACGTCTAAAGATTGCTTGTTTTCTTCTCTTCTTCTTCCGGATTGTAGCTGTCCCCTTTATACTTTTCTCTTGGTTCTTTCTGGGTTTTAACTTAAATCTTTCTTCTTGGTTCCTTCTGGTTTCCATCTGAAAACTAGCTTTTCTTTCTAGAGGTAACATATCCAAGTCCCAGATTTTTTTTAAATGTTTTTTTTCAGTTATTTCTGTTTCTTTTCTGAAATTCTGTGGATAAACTATATAGAAGAAGCACTAGCAGTGTTCATATATGGGAATTAATGGTTTTTTAGTTGAATTTGACCTTTCCATAGATTTGCTTGAATTCAAGAAATAAAAAAGAGCGTCAAGACTTGAAGATGGCTGCTGCTTCATCATCTTCGCCATTTTTTCGGGCTAGAGAGGAAAATCAAAACCAGATATTGCAGCAGCAAAATTCATCTACAGCTATTTCTGCTCCTCCTCAAAAGAAAAAGAGAAATCAGCCTGGAACACCAAGCAAGTAGCTATAACTCTCTATAACATATATATATCATATATATTTCTCATTAAAAAACCCTATTTCTAATTTTTCTTGAAATTGGTTAATCCAATTACAATTCTATTATTTTTCTGGGGTAATTGAAGGAATTAGAAAGTTTGTTTTTATTAAATATTTTTAATTTTGGCATTTCTGATTGCAGATCCAGATGCAGAAGTGATAGCACTATCTCCCAAGACACTGATGGCAACAAACAGGTTCATATGTGAAGTATGCAACAAAGGTTTTCAAAGAGAGCAAAACCTACAGCTCCACAGAAGAGGACACAACCTCCCATGGAAGCTAAAGCAAAAGACTACAAAAGAAGTGAAGAGGAAAGTGTATTTATGCCCTGAACCCACATGCGTCCACCATGACCCTTCTAGGGCTCTTGGTGACCTTACTGGTATCAAGAAACACTATTCAAGAAAACATGGTGAGAAAAAATGGAAGTGTGAGAAATGTTCAAAGAGATATGCTGTGCAATCTGATTGGAAAGCCCATTCTAAGACTTGTGGCACTAGAGAATATAGATGTGACTGTGGCACTCTTTTTTCAAGGTAATTAATTATTTAATCATTTTTATGCATATAATGATATAGTCTTATCAGAATTTGGATATTTTCATTCATTTTGTTCATCATTTTGGCTATAGACAAAAATATATACGATAAATGAAAGAAAGATTTGGGGACTGAGAATTTTATGGAAGAGCAAAAAGGGTTCTGGGTCTGGTCTGGTCTCTGCTGCTATTTTCTTTCTTTCTTTCTTTCTCCTATTTTGGTTTACTTGTAGATTGTTTTCTTTCATTTTCTCTTTCTCTCTATCTCTTACACTACAAATATGGCAGAAGGACTGGTTGCATGTGAATAATCTGCGAAACTGCCATGGCTCGGAGGTCTCTCAACAGAAATGAAGAAAACAAAAGCCTAATTTTTTTTTTTTTTTTAAAAAAAAAGACACTTTTCTTTCTTTTCGTTCTTTCTTTCTTTCTCGATAACAGCGCCGGTTCCTTCATTTCTTTTATGTATTCACGTGTTGTTGTTATAGAGTGTCAGAAAGGGGATATTGTTACTGGGTTTGTTCTCATGTGAGTTGGATATATATGTTATGGAGTTTGTTCTCTTCTGCGTTGGCTCAGCTCCTTTTCCTATACTTCTTCCCCTTGTATAACGTTAGGGTTGTGGGGTTTATATGCTCCCTTTCTCTTTCTCTCTTTGTCTTTCTTTTCCCATTTCACTCTCTTTTTAGCAGTAATTAAGTAACTCTACTCTCCATTGAATCTCTCCCTTCTCATTTTCATGGCTGATCGAAACTGTCATGAAAATGTGCTCATTCATTGATGACTTTCACGATTATGGAAAATATTCTTTCGAAATGAAAGATGGTTTTTTGTTTAGTTTTTACATTTATTGAAGCATTAGTTTCTCAAATGGACTAGCTTATAAATTTCTGGTTTTTCATCAAATTAGTAAATAGCTCTACGCTTCATTTATTGAAGACCCAGTTCTTGAAATAGTACTTAAACTTTGATTGATTTATCATTTTCACAAGCTTTCATCTTTTTTTTTTTCTTTTCATTTTTTGTCATCTTCATTTTTCTAATGGTGTTCATTTTATTGTTTGCAGGCGTGATAGTTTCATTACTCATAGGGCCTTTTGTGATGCATTAGCTCAAGAGAGTGCAAGGCATCCTACAAGCTTAAACACTCTTGGAACTCATTTATATGGAAATAATCATATGAGTTTAGGCTTGTCTCAAGTGGGTTCTCAGATTCCTCCATTACAAGATCAAAACCACCACCATCCATCTACTAATATGTTAAGATTAGGCGGAGCTGGGGCCGCGAAATTCGAACACATAATCTCTCCTCCTCCTCCCAATTCGTCTACATTTTTCATGTCGGATTCAAACCAAACTTCATTTCCAAGCAAACCCTTGCATGGCCTTATGCAACTCCCTGATCTTCAAAATTCCACCAATAATAATAACTCTACCAATCTTTTTAATCTCAGCTTCTTTTCGAATAATACTACCCCTAATCGAATGAGTGGTAATGACAATGGCGCAAATTCCAGTACTGGTACAGCTACCAATTTGGTGAACTCAAGCTTCTTGAATCCAAATCCAAACCCAAATCTTTATAATATGGATGATCATGTTAGCTCCACAGCCGGAATACACTCTCTTTATAGTAACTCAATGCAGCAAGAAAATATCACCCCACACATGTCTGCAACTGCATTGCTTCAAAAAGCTGCTCAAATGGGTTCAACAAGTAGCCCAAACAATAATTCTACTCTGCTAAGAGGCCTAGCCGGCAGTTCTTCATCGGCTAGTACTAAAGCTGACCGGCCACCACTTGTGTCTACTAACTTTGGCAACGCGGAGATAGAAAGCCAAAACCAACTCCAAGGTCTAATGAATTCTCTTGCTAATGGAGGCTCTTCCATTTTCGGAGGCGGACATGGCCATGATGACAGCTTTGGTGGATTCGCCGGTGGGATATCATTAGAACAGCCTCATAATAGTGGGAATTTCAGTAATGTAGAAGATGCTAAGTTGCATCAAAGTCTTGGAATGAGCATTGGAGGGTCTGATAAGCTGACTTTGGACTTTTTGGGTGTTGGAGGGATGGTAAGGAACATTGGTGGAGGGCACCATGGGATCACTTTAAGCTCTTTGGATACAGAAATAAAGTCGGCACAAGGTAATAAACCCTTTTAATTTAAGGCAGTGAAGAGAAGATTATTGCATTTGAGAAGAAAGAGAACAATTAAAAGGCGGAATGTTGCAGTTTAGGTATGCATATTGTAATGTACTTTGTTTTGTCTTGGTTTGGTTAGGATTTTGGTGCAACAAGTGCCTCTCAAGAATATTAATTTCTATCCTTAATTTCAATTAATTTATCTTTGTGTGTACTCTTTTAGTAGCTTAATTGGAAATTGACCTAAACCACTCCCTCTCTCTCTACTTGATAGTTGATAGTTGATAGTCACACCTCATGAGATTGAAATTTGTTATTTCTTTTTAATTGTAAAATTGAATTTTTCATTTAAAAAAAAGTTTCTTTTCTTAGTACATTAAATTTAATTTCAAAATGCTTACCAGGTCAAAACATATTCTAATGTATAGTGGAATAATTTCAGCTAGACATGCAGTTGGAATCAATAGTAAAAATCCGATAATTATTACACTTACTTAAATGTGAAAAAAAATGAAAAGAATTGAAAATTATACTTGGTTTTCTAGAATTGTTTTTATTTTTAATTTTACTAGCATTTTTTTTTCCTAGAACCAATTATTTCACTTAGTTATAATATTTTAATAAAAATATAATCCATTTCTTGCATCTTATTTAATTTACAAGGTAAATGTTCAATGATTAAATTATTAATTAATGTTATTTTATCAGTATTTACGAAGAAAAACTAAGACAGAGTTCCATTCATTCAGATATTCAAAGTCACGTTGAGAGTAGTATTATTATTAGTACAGTGTTAAAACCAAGAAGGTCTAATCGATAACTCTGTCTTTAAAGAATCTTCACTCTCTAACTACCCAACAGACTCGACAAGTTACAATTCCCTTTTTATTCTTTGTCCAGTTACAAAATATTTTATTAATTTAATTTCAGAGACAGGTAAGAAAATAAATTAAAAATGCTATTTCAATTCTTTTTATATGTAAGAATTTTGTTTGCTCACCTAATTAATACCTAACCCTACAATTAACAATACAAAAAACCCAAAAGGCAATTGCAGAATTTCAGGTCTCTTGCTGACATTCCATGGTCAATTTTCTTTTCTTAATTTTTCATTTCAAGTTGACTACGTTCAAGAAACATGCAGTGATGTCCACGTTAAAAGAGAAGAACACTGTTCTATTTATTTTTGTTTTAATTTGTTTTGCCTTTTTTAAAGAAAAGAAAAAAGAAAGAAAGAAGAATAGGGTTTCAGCTTTCAGGATTCTTTTTGAAAGATTGTGTTTGGGTATGGAGATTTTATGAGGAAGAGAGAGTGAGAGAGCAACTGACAGTGTGGTGGCCGTATTGTTCATATTGTGCAGAGAAAAATAGCAGCAGGAATTGTTCGTTATTGTAATTATAGTGAAACTCATGTGGCAGCTTTGTCGTAATTCTTGTCTTTTCTTTCTCTTTATGGAATCATCAGCCCGTGACTGTGAAAGTATGTCAAATTTATTTTTTAAATTTTGAACCCACCTATATATATATATATATATATACTGTAATTATCATCTATATATGCTTATGTATTTATATGTACAGACTCATATTATTACGCCCATCTAATTCCATATTCTTGTTTTTTCACTGGTGTAAAAATTCTGATATCGGTTTGGACAAGTTTCAAATATCTGATTTTGCTGATAAAGCTCACCTAGAAGGAAAATATTCAGACTGGATCCATGACTCTATATATGAATCAAATTAATTAAAATAGAATTTTTTAAAAGATTGTTTCCATTTTATCCTTTTTTTTGCCCTGTGTATGGTTAGAAATATCATCATTTCAATAAAAACATATATTTTCATTGATTTAGTCCACGAGTGAGGTTATGAATTCGGTCTAAATAAGTAAATCTCAAAAAATAAAAAAAAGAGTCTATTTTCGTTCATCCAACCATCCTAATATGTTTCCCATAATGAAATAATTGACCTAGAAAGTAGTATTTATAGGCATTTTAATTACAATAGCAGTATTGTAATTAAGTATTTGGCTGATAACCTAGATGGAAAAATTATTATATATGAAAAAATTAAATTAAAATTGAAAATAAATGTCTATGTCATCACCTACTGTATTCACAAAAATGAAGAAAGTTAATCCCTCAAGCAGCTGCAAATGGGCATTTCCCATTTGTAGGAGAAGTCTCAGTCTCATAGGAAGTGTACACAAAAGTAGATTCTCAGAAACACAATAACGAAATATTCTCTAATAAGCAAGAAATGATTGTTGTAGAAGTTGATGGAATACATTTATTTTTATACATATAAATTTAATGTTTTTGAATCTAAGCATGCAATTATTTTTTCACAAAAAGGGTCGTTTGCGTATTGCCCGCAACAATTGAATTCCCATTCCAACAGAATAAAATGGTCAAAAACAGTGCGTTTTAGGGTTGATTACACCTTGACCCAAACGTATTCAATTTATTTGGTTCCATTAGGTGGGCTCACGCTAGGCCGGACTGGTATTTCCTAATCATATCTTACAGGTATAGTTCGTATGAGTTCGCTTTTACTAATTCAACAACCTGTTATAACGCATTCAATTTATAATTATGATTGATTTATCTAAATTCAGTCTATAAATTCATTCGTGAATTAAATTAATGAAAAATAACTATTTATTATGAATATGGCTAGTTTTAAATATGTAACATGATCGATTTACAATTTTTTTAAAAAAAATATTTATTTTAATTAGTTTGATCGTGGATCCGATTTAATCAAGTTTAATCCTTCAAAATAAATATTTGTTATGAATTTGACCAAGCTAAGGGCCCAAGTTGAGGTGTAAAATGGTTTATCTTTAAGCCAGCTAAGCCAAACAAGTTTTTTCTTTTTTTCTTTTTTTTTTTTTTAAATTTGAGAAGTAAAACATTATGACACATCAATCTGAATAATGGTTTATTCCTTTATAGTTGAAATAATTCTGAATAATTAATTTTAAAATGGAGAAACTGTTATTATTTTCTTATATGTCATGATTTTAAATTGTTGAATTGAATAATTGATATAATTGATGCCAGAATTGGAAGGTCATGATAATGTTTCCTCCTTCCTCTCCAAGCAGAAAAATTCTTTATGCTATAAAAAATGTATTTGATTTAGCATTCCAAAAAGTAATAATTGCAAACAAGAAATAGGGAAAATTATTATTTCATCCTTGAGGTTTTACATAATTATTTAAGTAGTCCTCGAAATTTATACATATATTTATAACGTCCTTGAGGTTTGCCACCGTCATATTAACTAGTCCTTCCGTCAAAAAAATACATTTTTTCTGTTAATTTTGAAAGGAAAAGATGAAATTATCCTTTGAAAAAATAATTATTTCGTCCCTGAGGTTTGCCATAATTATTAAGTAGTCCCCGACATTTATACAAATCTGAATAATTAAATTTTTAAAATGGCAAGAAAACTGTTAATTATTTCTTATTATGTCATGTGATTTTTAAATTTTGAATTGAATAATTTGGATTAAATTGATGCAGACATTGGAAAGGTCATGAATAATGTTTCTCCTTCTCTCCAAAGCAGAATAAATTCTTTATGCTAAATAACTAAAAATTGTAGTCTTTGGCATTTAGCATTCCAAAGCAAGTAATCAAATTCCGTCAGAACAAGAATTAATTAGGGGAGAGAACATTCTCTATGTTCATACTTTGCGAGGACGTTTTCAGTCATTAATTATTTAAGTAGTCCTCGAAATTTATTAACCACTATATTTTATAAGACGTCCTTTGAGGTTTGGCCACACCAGGTCAATATTTTAACTAGTCCTTCCGTCAAAAAAATACATTCTTTTCTGTTAATTTTGACGGATAAGAATGAAATTATCCTTTTGAAAAAATAATATTAATTCTCGTCCCATGGATGCGTTTTGCCCTAATTATTAAGTAAGTCCCCGACATTTATACAGAATATTTATAGATCGTCCATGAGGTTTACTTTCCGTCATATTAATTGGGTCCTCTTCATAAAAAATACCACTTTTCTATTAATTGGTCCTTCCATAAAAAAATACACTTTTTCCGTTAATTTTGAGCGGAAAAGACGAAATTATCCTTTATAAGTTTTCATTGACATTATTGTCAATCCATTTCCTTTAAAATATCTGAAACTCAAATTTTCACCATCTTCTTCAACCCAACGCGGTCTTTATTGCCACCACCGTGTCTTTGTCAAGTATCATCTCCATAACCAGATTACCAACAAAACTAAAAGGGAAAATAATTATTTTGTCGCTGAGGTTTGCCATAATTATTTAAATAGTCTCCGTCATTTATACAAATATTTATAACGTCTCTGAGATTACTTCCGTCATATTACTTGATCCTTTCGTCCAAAAAACACATTTTTTGCTGTTAATTTTTAATAGAATGATCAAACTAACCTAAATCCTCTAATCAAGGAGAGAGAGATAAATGGATGAAGGGTGATGATGGCTTGATTGAGTTTGGATATTGGGTTTTAGTTTTGGTGGTGATGGATAATTGGGGTTTGTTAGTTTTGGTGGTGAATCTGGTTATGGAGAGATGATAGTTTTTCATTGACAAGTAGTGGCAAATGAAGACCGCGTTAGTTGAGGAAGAATGGTGATAGTGAGCTTCAGCCCGATAAATTTTAGAGGAAATATGGGTATTAATGATGATAGTATGTCAAATGAACTTATAAAAGGATAATTTCTGTCCTCTTCCGTATTTCGACTCAAAGACTATAACGGAAAAAATGTATTTGTTGCGTTTTGGTAATGACACAAAGTTTTCACCTATATGACGGAAAGTAAAGAAACCTCAGGGACGGTTAATAAATATTTGTATAGAATGTAGTGAGACTACTTAATAATTTATGGCAAATCTCCAGGGACGAACATAATTATTTTTTCAAATGATCATTTCGTCTTTGTCTTCTCAAATTAATGGAAAAAACGTGTATTTTTTTTTTTTGAGGCGGAAGGACCAATTAATAGTGACGGGCGGGGCAAACTCAGGAAAGACGTTAGAAATAATTATTTTTCCAAATGATAATTTCGTCTTTTCTTCTCAAAATTAATGGAAAAAGTGTATTTTTTTTTACGGAAGGACCAATTAATATGACGGCGGCAAACCTCAGGAACGTTATAAATATATGTATAAATATCGAGGACTACTTAAATAATTATGTAAAACCTCAGGGATGAAATAATAATTTTCCCCAAGAAATATTGATCACAGCAGCAATTCCTTAACACACTTAATCGCTATTTTTTTTTTATTCATTAAAAGGCTCGATGAGCTGTAGTACACAATAGAGATAGCTTTCATTTGGACTTATCAAATTAGTGAAAATACTGGTGATCGAAAGGAGTCGAATTCGAGACCTTGTCACTCCTCACATAAGTGAGAAGACGAATCAGACACACCTGATTGACAATCACTAATTTATTTTAAGATATTTTAGATATTTTATTTATTTGTTTGTTGAAAATTAAATGGATTAAAATAGTATTGTACGCTGCATCAAAAAACGAGTCATTTGATACAATCGAAAGGATTGAAATTTGAAAAATCACACTCCCTAAAGTTTTATAGAAAGTAGAAAGACAAGCTAAAATATAAGAATGCATCATTGACAAATATGTTAATTATACATATGTTGGTTGGGTCCAACTCAGTTATGGGTACTTTTGCCATCTCCGATGTGAAATTGTTTTTACTGCCAATTATAAGTTCCCCTCTAATTTTTATTTTTCTTAATTTTGGATAAACCAAGAATGAGTTCGTTGGATTAATTTTGTATTGATAAAAATACATTTTCATGAAAACAAAATATAAAGATGCAGTAAAAACCATTTCATATATAGATCATTTTATGATTTTTCTTCGTTAACTATCCAATTAGATGGTTAGAATGCGACTGGTTTCAAGAAAATTGAAAAAAGAAAATCATTATAAGAACTTGAGAGGAGTTTCTTAAAAGAAAAAGAAAATATTTTGAAAGGGCGACGTGTGATTTAGTAGCAGGGTTTTTGTTTTATTTGTATTATTTGTCAAATAGGGGGACTTTCACATATACTTAATCATTAATTGTTTCAAAAGCTAAAAATCATATGGTTCAATAAATATTTATTGCTATGTTTTTAAAATATGGGGGACTTTCACACTATAACTTAATTCTTAGAGTTGTTTCAGAAACAGCTGCAAAAATCATATGGTTCACAGTAAATATTTTATTGCTTACTGTTCATTTTTTAAGTAAGGTTACAAGGGAATTAGGAGTTGGGCAACATTGGTTTTTTTATAGAACCTGGATTTGTCAAATAGGGGGACTTTCACATATACTTAATCATTAATTGTTTCAAAAGCTAAAAATCATATGGTTCAATAAATATTTATTGCTATGTTTTTAAAATTAAAAATTAGGAGTTGGGAACATTGTTTTTTTTAAGAAAGTAGTGGAAATTTTTAGAACGTTATAGTATGCTATTTTTGGCCAAATTTATGGGCTGATCAATATATTACTAATTAAATATAGATTTTTGATTTTCACCGAGAAAAAGACAAAAAATATTAACTAATAATATTAATTATTTATCGATTTGATATATGAATTGACTTATATATTCAAAATAGATAAGTCTTATCCTTTATTGTTTATTTGGCACTTTATAATTTCATCGGTTAAATATTCAAGAATCGAACGATATCATTTAAAAGTCAAATGAAATGGACATTAATCAAGCCTCTTCTTTGGACGATTTTATAAAATCAATTTACCGACAAATAAATATAGTAATAACAATGAGAATTAATATAGTTAGATCAATAATTTTGTTACAAGCTGCATCTTAAACTAATTACATGATTGGCTAAGGTGGATGTCCTAAAACTTAAAGGTAGGTTCAATTCTATTCTCATCACTCTTATTTTTTAATGGACTATCCTTAACAAAAATTATGATTATATTTATCAAACTGTGGCTTTGTAAAATACCTTTTATCATAAAAACTAGGTCATCTTCCTTCCCAAAATCTCATGCTATTTTAAGTCTAGAGACGTTGTGAAACTTTAAATTTTATTATTCCTCCTCTTCACATTCATTATGGAAATTTGATTGAATTAAGCTTCCATCCACTTAAAATCAATTCTAAAATCATATAATTTAGAGAAGAAGTGTATGGGAAAATATTTTGCAGTATAAATACAAATTACAAAGTGGAATAGCATTCTCATATTAAAATTCTCCGTTATAATTAAATTGAGACTGGTTGAGAATCTGAAAGGCTAAAACGCATAATGTTACAAGGTGATTGATTGAGATGGAAACGCATAATAGGATTCTGAATCTTTTCTTTTTTTTTCTTTTTTCCTTCTTTTTTTTTTTTTTTTTAAACTTAGATTCTAACTTCCAATACCATTAAAACTATAACGTATATTTCATCAAATGATGAGATTTAGAAATTGCAACCTAGTTTAAATTAATTCAACATACTCGCTCTTTTCTGACAAAGATAATTCCCAATCACTTAATTTTCAGGAGTAAATTTTTCTTCTGAGTTACACAAAAGAAAAATATTCCAACAAACTTGAGGACAGAGAATATAACGGATAAAATGACCTTATTTAGTACTTTTACATCATGCTTATGTGTATTCCTTCTCCAGCTTGATTTTTCTCTAAAATACCTTTTCTATTTTTTCAGATTCTTTTTTACTTGATTGTTGAATGATTTTTTATTTCTGGGTTTTGGTTTCTTTTGTGTTGGTTTCAAATTTGAAACTTGCAGCAGTATTTAGTGCCTAAGAAAATGTGGAGATTCTCACTTTTTAGTCTGAGGCTTTCAATTCTGCTCGTGGTGGTTCTATTTCAGAGGATCATAAATTTGATAAACTGGAATGGTTATTTGCTTATTCTATCGAAACATGACAATTAAAGTGAGAACTGAATCTACCAACAATGTGTTGTTTAGGGTGGCAAGTGATCTTAACCCATAAGTAAGGGTTGAGAACACAATTTCTATCCCCGGAGGGCGCACTTTGCTAGGACGGCGAAAAATAAAAAAAATAAAAAAAATAAAGTGATGTGTTAGGGATCCAAGGAAATCCCTGTAATAAAGCATATGTTATATATCAGAGTACAGGTCCCCCACTCAGCAATAGCATGCACAAACTTAGCTAAAAAAACCTTATCAATCTTCCATTTTGGTATTGAGACCACAGATTGATAAAAAAAGGCATATGCTGATTTCATTTGCAGATGATATATAATAATGATTTCAGACTTATCTCATTGCATTCAATCTGAAAAGATCTAATCTCCAAGAGTGGATACACATACATCATAGAATGAGAATAATAATAATAATAATAAAAGATTGCAGATAAGAAATTGCAATTGGGAAGCTTAAAAGGTAGAATTTCAGCACTTGAACATTACCCTTCTTTAGTATAAGGAAGATAGATATTCAAATAATATACTGCAATACTAACTCAATGACGAACTAAAAATATTTAATTTTCAGTCTGAACTTTGAAATGGTAATGAAAATTGTGAAATCTATAATATTAAAAGAAAAAATGCAAAATTATTTTCTTAATGTATAAACTTGTAAATGTAAGGATTTTCATTTCTATATGGTATAATAAGGTATATTATCCCTCTACATGTTATGTATCCAGCAAAATTTCTCTAGCAGAAACTAAGCTCCATGTTATATGCATATGAACTAGCTAGTCTTCATCATATATATATATATATAATATCTAAGAAAGCATTATATGAAAGCTCCTGAAAATTTTCTATATTACTGTAACTAATTAACAAGTAAAAGAAAAAAAGGAAAGTAACATTAATTCAAAAGCAGCAGACAAGAAAAATGTTGCAGCTAAAGTCACTATCCAAAATATGATTGATCAAACTCCTAGGTACACTTGAAGGGAAGAAGCAAGAAGATAAGATACAGCTTCAACAAAATTCAGCTCTCTCATATTTAACACGGCACATTTCGGATTTCTGAGTCAATGCTTCATGTGTCTCTTAGCTATTTTCAATGCCTTTCACAAACCCTGCAAATTAAAATAAAATGACTTTGTGTTAGATTTATATTTTATCAGAAACAGGAGAAACATATAGATTTGAGTAAATTAAGATAATCGGTAGGTACAAGTTTTAATTTTTATCGACATAAATGTATATATATAGTGCAAGAAAATTTTTTTTTTCAGGTGGTAATTTTTTTTTCTGTTTATATATTGGTGAAACAGTAGAAAGTGTCTCAATCATAGTTGTTATTGCATGGAGGTGGGGCTTCTAATGTCCTGTCTTTTGGGAAGTAGTACAAATTTTCTGCCATATATCTGCAATTTTTTAAGCAAAAAAGAAAAAGAAAAAAGAATGTGGGAAAAAAATTCTAAAAATAAAATTCTTTATTCCTTACATCAATATTCTTTTTCACTCCTCACCCAATTGTCTGCGCAAATAATCTTGCTAAGAAAAGTTTAATTAAACTTAAAACTAAATTAATATTTCATAGTGAAATATTAATTAATTTACAAGTGAATATTATGAATAGCTAATTAAAGGGAAAAGACATTTCGTTTGAGCATCCTAAGAGCAGCACTCGTGACTCGTGAACTGAACTCTGCCAAACAAATATAATTTCATATACACACACACGGATATAATGCATATGTGAGTGTGATAAAAGGTGAAAAACAAGAAAAAAGAAATAAAAACAAAAAGACAAGAAAAGAAACAACACCCATATGTACTCTCTCAACACTGTCCCCATTCAAAGAGACTATGTCAGAGACATGAGAATACCGTAATAAATTTTCTAAAAGAAAAATAAAAATTCAAGAACTCCAAATGAACAGTAAAAAGCATTAAGATGCACATTTACCAATGAAATCAAGAATTTACTTTTTAATCATATATAATCATTTAAGCACGTCACACCTGGTAGTGGTGGTAGTAAAGAAAAGAAGAAGGTTGGTTAGTTTTTTTACGTACCAGTAGTACTTTTTCTTTCTTCTCTCTCATTATCTATTCATCATCTTTTTTCTTTTATTGCCCCTTTTCTTTCTGTTCTTTCTCGTCACTGAAAATTCCCATTTCCTCCAAAAGATTGACTTGTCGGCGCCGGCGCAGTAATGTTTCTGTCTGAATCCAAAGAAGAACTCATATCTATTGATTGTTGTTGTGGTGGCTGTTTTTCTCTTTGAGAAAACCCTCCACTCATGCTTCTTACTATTTGTCCAACGCCAAGAAAGTCCCTGGTTAATCTGTCAGATCCACCAATGCTCACGTTTAAACCATGCTGCAATTTGGCTTCCTCTATGTTGTTATAAGGGTTTTCTTGTCCATGCCCAGAACCGAAAATGGAAGGATTACCTGCTGTGAATGAGTTCATTAGGTCATGAAGATTGTTTTCATTTTCACTGAAAATCCCACCGAAATTAGCTCCAACCAGCGGTTGCCTATCCGATCTTGAAGAAGAGCTACTACCAAATGTTCTTAGCAATGAAGCACTGTTAGAACTTGAAGTCGAACCTATTTGAGCTGCTTTTTGAAGCAATGCTGTAGCTGACATGTGAGGGACTATATTGTCGTTTTGAACGGAAGAGCTAAAGAGAGAAGAGACGCCTGAGCTAATTTGATGATGATGGTCGCTCATTATGTTGTTTGAGAATATAGTTGACCCTTCATTGCCATTTCCACTACCACCATTTATTAGCAATCCTGGAGATTGTAGATTGTTTGAGTTATTGACAGTGTTGCTACTAGTAATGTTGCTTGTAGTGCTGTTACTGGAGAGAAAGCTTAGGTTAAACATATTGGAAGCGGAGGGCGGACCAGGAGGAGGAGGATTGGTGGTTGTAGTATTATGCAGATCGGCGAATTGCATTAGTCCGTGATGGAATGGCTTATTTTGCAATAATCCTTGTTGAGATTGGTGGTGATGTTGTTGTTGTTGTTCATCATGATAACTCTGGTTAGATTCTGGCATGAAGTAAGCTGATGATGACATATGCTGAGGAGGTCGAAACGAAGATGATCCTATTGGAGGAAGAAGATGATCAAATTGTCCGGTTCGAGCACCTCCACCAAGTCTTAGAATGTCACTCGATTGATCTTGCATTGAAATTTGAGTACCCACTTGAGATAAGCCTAAGCTCATGTTGCTACCGCCATATAAATGGCTTCCTATACTGTTCAAATTTGAAGGAGGATTTCTTGCACTTTCTTGAGCCAGTGCATCACAAAAAGCCCTATGAGTGATAAAACTGTCGCGCCTGCAACAATAATTAGAGAATTAGGGAAATTAGTAGATAATAATTAAGCTAAAAAACAGTAGCTTTAATTAGGAATTCAATGTCTTTTATTTCTACAACAAGACGAAATTATTTAGGTTTTGAAAATAATTCTTGAAAATGTTGAAAATAAGCCAAGGCACAACATTGTGATTTCCTATAGAAAATGTATTAATTTGATCCCACGATATATGTAAATATATATGTAAAGTCCAAACAGAGACATTAAAGAAAATGATGGCAGTCTCCACAACTTAGGTAGACATGTAATCTATTTCAAGATTTTCTTGACTCTTAAATTTGGCTTGCATTCCTGTTGACATGTCCCATCGCACTATATACGGTCCAACAATATTGACAACTCAAAATAAAGCAGTATAAACATTATTAGGGTTACATTAATTAAGTTCAGTAGTAAAAGTAAGAAATAAAAAATAAAAATCGATATGTGTTATTAGTTAGGAAGAGAAGAGCTTGAATCGAAGTAGGGAAAAAGAAGAAGAAGAAAGAGGAGTGTGAAAGTGAAGAGGTTCAACTATAATTTCCGTAGAAGACAGAAACATAATAATTATAATGGGGTAGGTTGGGGAAGAGAATTTCACCAGAAATTGAATAATATCATTAACCAATCACACCATGAAATACCATTTCAAGAACTGAAAGCTCAATAAATGCAACTAGAGAATGTATTCAACATCATGAAAAGCAGTCAATCAAGCAAGTCCATTTCAGGAACTACTTGTTATTATTGTTATTGTGTCTTTTATAAAATATAACTTAAATGCAAAAAAAAAAAAAAAAAAAATGCAAAGACTAGAGAACTGTCTTCAACATCATGAGGCAGTCAATCAAGCCGTCCATTTCAGGAACTAACCTTGTTATTTATTGTCTATTTAGATGTCTTTATTATATTATAACTTAAATGCAAAAAAAAAAAAAAAAAGTTATAATATATATATAATATGCCTCATGACGGCGAATTCCGCTTTAATAATTTGTTATACCAAGAACAGAGAAGCATTTTAACCATTACTTAAATTTCTTTCACTTCTGAATAGATTTTTCTGCCTGGTTAATTCTCTTACCATTTTGTAAAGCAGCCATGGAAGAAAAGAAAGAAAGAAAGAGAGACCAGAAGTAAGGAACGAAGGGTTTGTTTAGGGCCTGACGTTATCAAAAAAAAAAAAAAAAAAAAAGTATATTCAATAATAGCCTCATGATCGGTTCGCTTTAATAATTTTTATACCCAAAACAAGAAAATTTTAAACCATTACTTAAAATTTCACTTTCCTTTCTGAATTAATTTTTCTAGCCTGGTTATTCTCTTACAGTTGTAACAGCAGCCATGGAAGAAAAGAAAGAAAGAAAGAGAGAGAGAGAAGGAAGAAGGGTTTGTTAGGGCCTACGTTATCATGAAAAGGAGTACCTGCAACAGTACAGAGCTGATCACATCTAGCCAACCCATAAGAGAACAAACAAGGTAAACAACACACAGCAGCAAGGGCTCTACATGGCATAGCAACACGTGAATAGGAAAAGGTAAACAACCAAAAGGGGCGGTGGTTCCAAGGTGAAAAAAAGAAAAAAGAAAAAAGAAAAACAAAATGAACTACTATTTTTTTTTTTTTTACTTTTCTTTTTAAAATTTTTTTTAGCTTAATATAATTTCTCTTCTCTCCTTCCTTCACTCGTTGAAAACTCTATGACCATGGCAGTTTCCAGAGATTATTCACGTGGGAGCATGTTTTCTGCTATTTCAACGTCTCCTCTACAGTATCAGTGAAGAAAAGTTAAAAAAATTATGAAAAAATAAAGAAACTGATAATCAAGAAAGAAAAAAAAGAAAGAATCTTTAGCCCTAAAACAAACAGGCAAAGTACTAGTACTCCTATAACGCCTCTCCCTTTTTCTTTTCTTGAGTTAAAGATGATTAATTTTATGTCTAAGAAGAAAGAAGAAACTAAAATTACCTTGAAAAAAGAGTGCCACAGTCACATCTATATTCTCTGGTGCCACAAGTCTTAGAATGGGCTTTCCAATCAGATTGCACAGCATATCTCTTTGAACATTTCTCACACTTCCATTTTTTCTCACCATGTTTTCTTGAATAGTGTTTCTTGATACCAGTAAGGTCACCAAGAGCCCTAGAAGGGTCATGGTGGACGCATGTGGGTTCAGGGCATAAATACACTTTCCTCTTCACTTCTTTTGTAGTTTTCTGCTTTAGCTTCCAAGGTAGGTTGTGTCCTCTTCTGTGGAGCTGTAGGTTTTGCTCCCTCTGGAACCCTTTGTTGCATACCTCACATATGAACCTGTTTGTTGCCATTAGTGTCTTGGGAGATAGTGCTATCACCTCTGCGTCTGGATCTGTTATGAAAAATGCCAAACAACAAACTATTAGAAAATTCAACAAATTAAAAAAATTTAATTAGAAAGGATGAAATTATTTTGGAATTTATATAATATATTTATGAATACATATACGCATGTCAATTCCGCTCAAAAGTTTCTTACAGTTTCTTAAATGGGGTTTTTAATGCAAAATCTGAACAAAAAAAAAAAAACCAGAGGAAAAAGAAAATCAAGGTAGGAGATGGGTTAGTTGAAAAATTCATAAATTGAAATTATTTTTTAATTTATTTTAATTAGATAGATCTTAGACAAAAATTGTTGATACTTGCTTGGTGTTCCAGGTTGGTTTCGCTTTTTCTTCTGGGGCGGCGGCGCCAGAGCTGAAGATGAAGTTGGTGTTGAGGAATGCTGTTGTTTCATCTGGTTTTGATGATCTTCATCTCTAACTCCAAAGAAAGGCACGGATGAAGAAGAAGCGGCCATCTTTTTTGTAAATAAACACACTTGTCTTTCTTTTTCTTCTTCTTCTTCTTCTTCTTCTATTAGTTCTTCAATTTCTTCTCCTTGCAAAGAAATTTATAATCAAGAAACCAAACAAACCCCACATGCAAATTTAAGTTCTGTCTCGAAATCTTTAACTGAAAATCCCAACAAAACACAATTGAAGCTTTTTGACACTGATTAAATGAGAACCCTAAAATGGAAAAAATATCTCTATATCTTTGAGAGAAAGAGACCTAGAATAGATTCTTTAAGAAAAAATTCAAGAAAAAGAGACTAAAGAAGAGAGATTAAGAAAGAGAAATAGCGAAAACACATACACAAACAGAACCCATGAGGCATTTAGATTCCTCTTTCTCTACTACAGTTTCCTTTGTTTTAAACGCCAGATTTTGAACAAGTGAGGTTACTGTGCTTCTTTTTTTTGATTTGGTGTCATGCAGATATGCTCACACATATACATAATAATAATTAAAATTATATATATAATTTTTTTTTTCTTTTTTGCCCTTTTGTTTCTGATTTTGCTCTATTTTTCTTCTTTCCTCTCTTAAATGGTAATATTTTTGTAAAAATTGAAGCTTTTCATTTTCATTTTCATTTTGAGGGAGAGAGAGAGAGAAGGTGAGGCCTACAAGTCGGTGGACCCAATCCATAGCCGCATAACGACATGGGTATGGTGCGTGAGGGTAGCATGAACAGCTACACCTTCTCTCTCTCATTTCGTATCTTCTTATTCACTTACAGACAAACTTTCCTTCATCACTCCCTCTAATTGTGGACCTCACTGTAATTTATATTTAAACTCATCTAGTTTAATTAATTTGATTCTGAATCATTTAAATCCCTAACAAACAATATTTATCTCCTTCCTAAACCAGAACCCACTTTCTATTTCTTAATAAATCCCTAATTAATGGAGCAGAAGCAGCAAACCTCAGAATATTAATTGGAAGTCTCCTCTGCATATGTTGACTCTCCTCACAAACAAAATTCATATAATAATTTATTAACAATTCAAATTCCACCAAACCTCATTGTTTTAGTAAATACTTAATTGTTTTTTTTTAAATAGAAAATTATCATGCATATGTGTTTTTTCGATGCAAGCTAATATCTGACGGCTGACAGCTAACCGCTATTGTATTAAATCAACTTCTAAAACAATTATTATTGTTTAAAGATCGGCAAAGAGGGCCAAACTCTACATATTGAGAGTAAAATCTAAAAATAAATTCATTTTCGCTGATTAACCGTGTCGAGAATATTTATACATATTTGGTCAATCACTGTTGGGCAAACAATAATTTTAGACGAGTACTTGCTGTGCATTGCATTTTCTGTTTGAACTGTACTTAGGTTCAGTGACATGCAAAGGGCAAAAATGGGTCAGTTACAATCTTTATCATGCTTGGGCAGCTGGTTGGTTCGGTTACATGCAATAGGGGCCTGGAAGTCACATCAGGGTATAGCCTATTATAATATAATGAGGGAGGGTATTTAAGTCATTACAAAGGTCAGAAAAAATCACAATCAAGACCTAAGAAAAGACCTAATCCAACCACTGGGGATAAACAATTACTCACTGAATTTTAGGCTCCTAAAGGCTAAAGACTTTTCACATTACTTTTCTAACTTCACAACCCGGTCATTTATACAAAGTGACAAGTAAATTTTGACCATTAGATATATAATACTATAAAGTGAATTATAGGACTCACGTAGTCAAGAATATATATATATACGTATATAAAAAGTGAAATGTGTGCTTTTTTATGTGGGATTTTTGAAGGCATTTATGATTAGGACAGTTTTATCCTACTTTTAATTTCCCCATATTGACGGTTTTCATTCCATAGAGCCAGCCTTTTTTTTTTTTTTTTCCATTGATGTTGCGCTTTTTTATGGTGGGATTTTTTTTGGACGCGCATTTATGATTAGGAACAGTTTTATCCTACTTTTAATTTCCCCCATATTGAGGGTTTTCATTCGCATAGAGCCAGACCTTTTTTTTTTTTTTTTCCCTTCCTCAAATCAGAAAGTTATATGCTATTTGTATCACACCATTGTCATTCTGTTTATAATAGTGAAGCTTAACCATAACCATGCAACTTCATTGTACATTGCTCATGCTGATCACATTTGCTGAGCGCTGTAATAATAATGATTTTAATAATTTTTATGTAGTGTATTGTATATGAAATATAGGTATAGAATATATTATTAATTATACAATATCAGTTATTTTTCTAAGTCGGTAACTAAACACGAATAAATAATGTCTCAAATTCAACGTTCTCAACCTTTTTTTTTTTTTTTTCCTCAAACAAGAAGTTATATCTATTTGTATCACACTTGTCATTCTGTTATAATAGTGACAGCTTAACCATAACCATGCACTTCATTGTCATTGCTCATGCTGATAATTTGCTGAGGCTGTAATAATAATGATTTATAATTTTATTAGTGTATATGTATATGAAATATAGTATAATATATTTTATTATACAATATCAGTTATTTTTCTAGTCGGTAACTAAACACGATAAATAATGTCTCAAAATTCACTCTCAACCTCTAAATATTTATATAAATATTATGCTACCGAGCAATATAAATAACAAAAGCATTTGAAAAAAATTTTATAAATTTAGTGGAGATAAATATATAAATACTTATAATATCCTTGGTAAATTTATAACGTTACTGGAGTTAAGTGACTCCATAGTAATGAATTTTTTACCCTAATCAAAATACTAAATATTATTTTAAAAATAAAATCTGCAGCTTATTTTCTTTAATTAGGTTATGATTTACCATTATAACCTTAATACAAATCTCAATTTAAAAAATGTGTTAATATAATATAAGCAAGAATCAATATATGTGTAATGAAATGGGTTGAAATTAAATAGGGGAGATTAATTTAAATATACTAGCTAGCAAGTACAAAGTATGTGTAAGGGATACACTATACTCATACAACATATTTTAAGAAGATAATATATTCCTCGAATCTCATTGCAACTTCGATCAAGACATTCTGCTTTCTAATAGAGACAGAGTATTATTTTAATTTTCAATAGAAGACAAGTATATATATATATTTATATATTTTTCAATAATGCATATTAATTTAATACATAAAGCTTGTCTTTTGCTGTGTTTTATGTACTACATATTGGACTTTAAATACGATAAACTGCGTCGTCTTAAAATGTCTTAAAATATAAGTTAATTTGAATATTTTCAAGAGTAATAAAAGATTTTTTTTTCAATTTACTTTTATTTATATTAAATATAATATGAGATAGGAGTAATTATGTGGATAACAGTTAGTTTTTTATGCTTAATTTTATTATAATTTTAAAAAATTAATTACTCTGATTTATATTTTAAGAGGAAGGCACTAGTAGCTATCAAATAGAAAACTACAACACACGCTTAAATTATTAGGACAGCAAAAGCAAATATTCAAATACATGAATGCATCTAGTGAAAAGATATCAAAAATTTTGGTGTTTGACCAAAAAAATATCATATAAAGAATGTCAAGATGCTAAATTAATTTCTTTCTTGTAAAGTCTTACATGTAACTTACAAGACAGGTCATATCATAATTACTCGTTGATATGCTAGCCTAGCTGATAACCCCACCATAATGGTATACACTTTTGAAAAATTACTACATATGGGCCCACTACAATTTGTCTAATTAACCATTAATTTTTTAATTAGCCCATCAATTTTTATATTAGGAAATAGAATTTTGACCAATGAATAACTAGTGGGCTGACGAATTTATTGTTGTAACTGTAAAACATGAAAAGCATGCATGTACTTCAAAACCTATCTGTAATTTCAAATTTTAATTATTAAAAAACATTATTACTAATTGAGATTTAAAAGTTTTAACACCTTTTTGTTTTTTTGTTTTTTTTTTTTAAATATAACAAAAGACTAGTAAACTTATTATTTGCTACCTTAAAGGAAAAGTATAAGTTTTCATAATAAGGAATAAACTCCATTTTCAAGAAATCAATTTAGATTAAAAAATCAGAAATAGAAATAATATGAAACACACAAGTAAGAGTCAAAATCTATTTTTTAAGCATCGTAAAACATAGCTTAGTGGTAAGTGTATTATGAGTTGACAATAAATTCAAATTTAAATCACCTTCTTCGATACTTAAAAAAATTCATTTTTTAAAAATATATACATTTAACTCAAGAAATTTTATTTTTTGTCAATATATAATTTAAAGTTAAAGTTCAAATTTCAGCCTTGCTCGGAATTTAGACATTCAATTCCTTAGATTATAAGAAACAGAATTAAGTATTGCCTCTAATTATTAATTATTATTTATTATTTATTATTATAACATTCATTTTTATTTTCTAATTTTTAAATAAATAAGGATGTATTATCAAAATCTAAAAACAATTAACTAAATCATAGATTCTTATTTCTTACATATCTAGTGAGACAGAGTGTAGCAATTTTTGTAAAAGACTAGCAAATGGATATTATTAGTGACAACACAAAAACAGTCTGTTGACGCCACGGCGACTAACGGGTTCTGTTGGAACATAAAATAAGGACACAGCTGTATTTTAGTTTTTAACAAACGGCGTCCTATCTTTACTTTTACCGATACTGCCAGCAACTTCTCCCCTATTTCCTTTTCTGTCCTTACGTAATTAAACTTTGTAAATATTATAAGTAAACTTGCCTTCAAAGTCAAATGTTGAAAGAAAAAAAAAAAAAACTATTTAATCTTTTTTTTTTTGAAAAAAACTATTTAATCATTTAGTTAGTCTAAATTATAATTTTTTTAATTATTTGCGAAATCAATTATCCGTCTCTAATATTAACATTGTTAAATTATTTAATCATTTCCTATAAAAAAAAGTGCTTTTTAATGTTAAACATCTTGTAATATTTAAATGTTTAGTTATTTATATTTAATATAGTGTTATTATTTTGTACTTTGGCAGAAATGATATTTTTTTAAGAAAGGACTAAATAACTTGGTGGAGCTAAATTACAAAACGAACCTGTAATTTTATCAAACAGTAATGATATAATATATATAGTAATTTTGTTTAAAATTTGAAGGATAAATAATTAATTTAAAATTAAAAAAAAAATTCAGTCTAATATATTTCAAAACGAAAACTTTTTAAGAGTGAAAGAGGGCTATTCTACGACCCAACCTTTTGGGCTTAGGGTGGGCTTTCTGTTTAGATATTGTAAAAGGAGGCCTAGTTTGTTTTTACTATGGCTAAACTAAATTATTGAGATAATTAGATTGTATGATTGGCTACTGATTGGTCATTACGGATTTAATAAGGCCTATGAAATTTGACTTTGTCTGAAAATGGTTTCTTTTACTAACCACAGATTAAATTTTGAACTCAAGTTTGTTATTTTTGAAGTTTTCAATTCTATTAAACGACAACTTGATGATAGATTAGCTATTAGTTTTTTAGTCCAACTAGCATATGATTAACTAATTAGAAAGGAAGGTTATTTCTACTGT